AAGAATGTTGACAGAAGAGGCACAAACGAAATATACAAAACCCATAAAGCAGCAATCAATTTAGCTGACTGACTAGCTCTGGACAGCTTGTTTCAACTTTTGAAGGTTTATGGAAATCTCTTTTTAGTTCCATCTTATCGTCAAGGTCTAACTGCCAGCATAATATACAAGACGCTTGGACCTATCAGCATTTGACTTAATATTCTGAGATTGAAACTGGGATATATCTGCCAGCATGCGGCAAATATTGGTAGGTCTGATGCAGTTTAATTCAGGAGGGAGCCTCCCTCGGCTGCCTCCTCAAGGACGTCAGATTTGTCTCTAAGAGCCCCCACTCCGCCTCTCATCTACAATGCCAATGAGTGTCAGAGAAGCAGTGTGGACAAGGAATCCCAAAGAAGAAACCGGGTCTCCCTGAGATCTCTGGGACTGGCTGCCATCTAGAAATCCCACAGAATCCCCACATCCATTGATCTATTCATGCATTTGACCAAGGCATATCTACTAAGAGGACACAGAGCTAAGCAAATCAAACAGCCTTCTCAGCCATAAAAAGCCTGCTTCCATTTTAGTGGAAAGATTCAGATAACAAGTACAATATATAAGTAACATAGCAGAGACAAAACCAGCAAACTCACTGTCAACAAGAAGTTTGATCTCACTGAGAGGATATCAACAATAACCACATGGAAAAAGTAAAATATAGAGTATATTGCATGTAACACATGTTCAGAAAACACCAAAACAGGAAAACAGCATGGGGAATGTGGAGAGATTTCTATTTTAAATTGGAAAGTCCGGGGAAGCCTTCCTGAAAGAGTCATTCTGACCAAAGAACTGAAGGAAAAGAGAGAAAGTCTCATTGCTCTCTCTCTCTCTCTCTCTTTCTCATCTATAGAGATAGATAGACATATTTATGTGTGTGTGCATGCACACATATAATCCATGTATACGCATTATATACACGATATACATGTGTGTATATACACACACACAGATATAAACATCTTTCATTCATAAGGGACAGCAACAAGTAAAGGCCCCACCCACGGTAGAGATATGATGGAATGTTATATGACCAGCCTAAAACTAGGATGACTAGAGTGGTGTGAGTCCTGACAGAACAAAAGAAGATGAGGTTAGAGAGGAAATGCAGATCCAACTGCATTGGCTTCTTGCCAGCTCTTGCAACGTCTTTGGCTTTTACACCAAGTGAGACATTTGCACAGAAGACTAACATGATCTTATTTACTTGGGTTGAGAGAGACTGAGGTACAGCAAGCACAGAAACAAGCAGACCTGCTTGAAGGCTACTCAATTCAGTTAGAACGAAGACTTCAGAAAATGTCAGCACAAACTCAAACTCACAAGTCACAGCTGACCTTTGACAAAACATATTAATTTGATGTGCGAATGATTGTTGACAAAATGTTCAGCCTCTAAATGTTATGGGAAAGAGTATGCATGATGAATCAAGAATGTATTTGATCGCAATTTGACTGTGAGAACTGGCAAGGAGGAAGAAGAAAGCGCCTGAGGGAAGAAGGGACATTTTCCTGGCTAGCCACAACAAATTCATTAGCTCTGCTGATATTGAAGGATCAGTTTCAGCAGGCTGCAGAATTTGGAATGCATTAGCATGGATGAAAATTTGTAGATCAGATATGTACCTTATTCAGATCACTCTAGTGTTCTGATTAGAGAATGGATTACCATTCTAAAGCCCAGCCAGTTTTGACAGTGATAATCATGAGGCAATTGAAATCTGCTAATCTAAACTTTTGAATACAGACTCTAACTCCTCTTCAGGTCCCCAGGACTTAACAAAATCCTAGGACAGATGAGGCGTTTATTGGTGGTGCTAGCAGGGAGGTTCTCAATATTCAAGAGACAACAAGCATTGCTTCATGTATTTTAATCACAAAGAAATGGAAGTATAGGTAGTTAGGGGAAATAACCCTCTAATGTCAGGTTTATATTTTACTCTCATATTTTTAAAAATAAAATCTTCACTTAGTATCATTCCGTTTTGTAAATTTTAAAAAAGTTAGAAACTATTTAGTTTAAACCTTTTATTTTCAAGAGGAGGATTCTGAGACCACATAACGTGATGCGACTAGCGTATCTGACCTCAGTGGTAGCACTTTCTAGGACATATAAAACTGTGAGACAGCTTCAAAAACTGTTGTTCTTAAAAAGCCAATTGTAGGGAAAAGGGGAAAAATGCTATGCCTCTGCCAGAAATGAGAATTATTTCACCTTTCCTTTGTGTCACGCAGGAAGAAGATACGACTGGGAACTAGAGCTACTGGATCAGAGCAGCCTCACAGCACTCATTCTGCAGCCAATTCCAAGCCAGCAGTCCTGCAGATGCAGGGAAGCTAGTGAGGCACACTCCTGGTGGGGGTACTAGTTTTATTTAACAGTCTTGAACAGCTGGACAGCACAATGCTAACGACCACTTGAGCATGAAAGTGTCTGATGATTGCATATAAAATATGGCATGCAATGAGGAAAAAGGGTAATAACAATATACCACAGAACAAATGTACAGTGCCAGGCCAAAATGCGTAAATCGCATAACAAATTTTAAAAGAGAACTGTCATTGTAATGTGCATTCTTAGAGTGGACTATTTCTTTCAAATCAGAAATAATTTAAACAATCAGAGAAATTCTCTCTTTTCAATCACCTCAAACATATGTAATTGGAAAATGATGCAATATTAGCAATAGAGAAATAAGAAAATCCTGAAAAGAGAAATTTTCAGGTCCAGTAGGAGCTTTTCAGTGACATTTAAGCATCATGTGAACAAAAATATTTATGAATTGAAGCAACACTGAGGTCGGAATATCTCTTACCTTGCAGAAAAGGAATGCTATCAGAAACAAAGCATGTAGAAGGCAGTGCTGAATTCCAAATGCAATTGCAGGGTGAGCTGTTTTTAAATAACAGCATATGTGTTTTTAGGGATTTGCCTCGCAGCATGTCTCTCTTTTTTTTTTCCCATATAACTGTCAACTATATCCGTGATGAAAATGAAAAATGTATCACTCAAAACTTTTTGTTTTCTGAACTGTACCTTATCTAGTGAGAAATGAAGTTCTCTCTCTCTCTCTTTTTTCCTAAGAAATACATTCCTGTAATATTTCAACACTATCAAAGTATAACAGCAGGTTGAAGGAAACACAGGACATAGCCAGATACCCATACAGCAACTGTTTTTTGCTTGTTTTGTTTTTTGAGAGCTCAGTAGGTACTCTGAGGTCTAGTAGAGAAAAAGACTCTGTCATCAAGGAGCGGTGTCCTGTTGTGAGGAGAAACAACTTATAAACCAATAACACGCCTCTTCTCTGCACTGTTTCCTCCATAGCACTTACTACAAATAAGCCATATGAAATGTTTTTGTTATTCACATTTTACTGTCTGCTGCCACCCTTGAAAGTAAACTCTATGAGATCATAGATTTTCATCTATTTTATATATGGATTTTTCCTCACTGCCTCAATCAATATTTAAATAAATCAGATAATAATTATCAAATATTCCTGTTAATATTACAAATTATGGGTAAACAACATGTACAAAGAGATAGGAAAATTTAATTCCCTCTGAGACATGTAAAGATACTTATGATGAGGTGACACACTGGATATGGTGATCTCTAGGTCCTAGAAAGTTTCCATATCAGAATATGAAATTGCATGGCTAAAGTCTAAATGACTTCATTTTGCTTTCTGTCTCATTAACCACCCCAAAGTATTTCTTAAAGTAATTTTGTAGCTTCATTTCTGAGATTCCAGGTTCAGAATGGAATTTAGAACCAATTCTTCCAAGTGCCAATGTTTGACGAAAGCAAACTCAAATCAAGAGGTAGTAAGGCGTATGTTGAAGGTCCCTTGATTGGTGAAAAAGGCAAGTCTGGAATCCATACGCTGAAATGCTCATCTTCTCTATCATTAGCTTCTATGAACCATGTGCCTGCATGTTCTCACACAAAGGACTGCATTACCTCAAAGAAATACAATAGAGCTGGAAAATGCTAACAGGAAGACAACTAAAGTATCATTAAAGAAAAGAAGCAGCTTTGTAAAGGAAGACCTTAAAGATTAGAATCTTCAATCTGGAAACTCTGACATCTATTAAATCATGAAGAAGGTGGATAGTGTAAAAGCCAAGCTATCCACAAACTTCAATTATACTAGGTCTTAGGGCACCCTTTGAAGTTTAAAAGAGATAAATATAGGAAAATAATGGGAAGTGCCATACTACTTTATTTATTAGGTAGAGTGCTCATGGAAGTAACACAGGCTGAAAATATAATAGGTTCATAAAAGGTTTAGATAAAAAACATGCAATAAATCAATTCCAAACTATTAAAGGGAATTGGCCCAATATACGGTTACTACCACTTTTATCTTTGTCAAAGTACAGAACTCTCCTTGCTCTTTAGTTACACTGGAAGTGCCTAAGCTTGAACATTGTTGCACTGATATTAAAAAACCAGGTGTCTTAGTAATATGAACTAAATAGCAAGAGTAGATATGGTGCAATACTCTACACATAAAGCCAAGGTGAAATTTCCAAATGACCATTACAGCAATGTGATTAGATATATCAAACGCTCTCTGAACACAAATTTTTCAACGGTGTGTATTACATCTTTAAATTTAGATGCAAGAACTGAGATCGATCTATCTATCTATCTATCTAGCTATCTATCTGTATACATATATATATTCATGAATTCACAAACAAGAAAATGTACCAAAGGCTATTTCCCTTCTAGATGTGCAGTTTAGATTTTGGTAAATGGTTTTAGGTTTTGGTACATGGCATCATTTTGAAGCATCTTAGGCTCTTGGTGTTAGGGATTTATAAAGTTCTCCTACATCACAAAACTCATTACATTTTTAAGTGTTAATCTTTGTTGCAGAATAAAATATTTTCATTATATAATACTCTCATTTAGTAATTACGATCTGAAAAGTTTTTACTAACCTTTAAGAGAGAATTTATTTATCTTGGGCTCTTATGTTGAATCATGTTCTCTTATCACGATGCTTGAGCTACATTAATATGAATCACTTGTAGAATAATGTTGCTGGAACACATGTAAATTAAGCATAAAAGCTTATCATATAAACGTTTGTGCTTCTAATACTTACAAAGTCAACACAAAAAAATAAAAATAACTGCAAACACAATTCACAAAACCAATGGCCATTCAAATTCATGTTAATTTTACGGATCAGATTCTTTTGGTTCCCAAAACAATGTGGTTAATGACTATGTGAATAGGGCACTGGGAGCTAACAGAGAGAGTTTTAGAGATTGATAGGCTTGAAGTAAACTCTTGATTCATTTTTTCTCTATATGGTAAAATTTTTACATAATTCTTATAATTCACCATTATATAATTTGAAGCTTATTTGGCAAAAACTGATAAAATATATGGTATGACTTTATCTGTTTCTTTTTCAGAAGGCTCAAGGAAGGAGGCATGAAAGGGATAATAACCACGATGGAAAACAGGTCCTAAAATAACATGAAAGTAATCTGATAGATGAGCTACCCACGTTAAGCATGATTATATTAAACACATTCATAGTATCACATGAAAGTTCTCAAAAGTCATACAACTTGAATCAGGTTTGAGAAACACTATTTTATACCATAACTTCGATGTAGATTTCTAATAGTAAATTTTTATTAAAAAATATAATCTAGCTGGCTGACTGGCATACGCCTGTAATCCCAGCTACTTGGGAGGCTGAGGCATGAACCCCTTAAACCTGGTAGGCAGAGGTTGCGGTGAGCTGAGATCATGCCACTGCACTCCAGCCTGGGCAATAGAGTGAGACTCTGTCTCAAAAAATTATATACATATATATATATGTGTGTGTGTGTGTGTGTGTGTGTGTGTATGTATATGTATATTTTCTTTTATGGTTAAAGCCACAGGAAGAAAAAAATGCTGCTGAATATTTTTCTGGTAATAGCTATTCAGGTTGCTAAAACTCATTGAGGGGTGTGTGTGTGTGTGTGTGTGGTGTCTGTATGGTGTGTGTGTTGTGATGTGTATCTGTGTGTGAGGTATGTGTGTGTGTAGCAGTGTGTGTGTATACGGTGTGCTACTTTATGGATGGGGACAATGAGTGGTCAGCTTATGTTATAAAGATGAAATTAGAGTTTAGAATCTTTCATCTTTCTCCTGCACAACAGAGTTCATTATGATCGGCAAGTTTCTAAAAGTTAATTCGTTTTTACTGAAAACTTAATCCATACTCGTAAGAACAATTTCTAAAAAAAATTAAGTACAGTGAAAATCCTCTAGATACAGACATGCAAATCCCTTACCCTTCTACCTAGAAGCAACCATTGTGACTATTGTCCTGTATATAATTAAAAATATTCTATGCCCATTAAATAATATCACCATATGCCTTATCTGCCCTACTAGAAACATTTTAAAAAAGTAAACTATTACATAATGCTAAAGGGATGACATGAAGTTCACTGAGGAATTCATGGCTATTTTTACGTTAGTTTTAGTGACATTTTCTTACACATAATACTAATCTTCTCACTGCTGTGAATATATTTTGAAAACTCGATTTTACATATTAATAAAATAAAACAGTGTTTAAAATATGACACATTTGGTGTACTCTTAAATGCTTAAATCCTACTTAATTTTAGGGCAATTTTCTCTCATTGAAAAGTAAAACAATAAATCACCAATAAATAAAAATTTTATAAAGAGAAAAATATAGAGTGAAATAATAGGTCATATATTTTTTCCTCTCAGGAATACAGGCATGTATATTTAAATATGCAATAGCGGTTAAGAATGGAGGGGCAGGGACCATATTATAAGAGTTTCATTCTGGTTCTCTCGCTTACCAGCTTTGTGATTTGTGAAAATCATCTAAACTTCTTTGAGCCTCAGGTCCCTCATTTGTAAAATGGAGATGATATAACCTGCTTCCTTTAATACGATGATGAAAGGAAATACTAGAGGCAAACCACTCTATACATTGTCTAGTATGTAGAAAGTGTTCAATAAATGATACCTATCATTTATTTATTTGTGTTAACACATTTTAATAGCAGAAGAAAACATCTACATACAATCAGTATTAGTGAAAGCACAATGATAGCTTTAAATATATGAACAGTATGTACTGCACAGCACACACACACACCACACACACACTAATATAGTATATGTATTATCTCAGTTAATTAGAAAAAAATAAACTCATGAAGTTGATATTGTCCAAGTTTTTATTTTATAGTGAGGAAAACTTTGACTACTTTTATAGCATCATGGTAATAACACAGGAATGGGAATTTTAAGTGTAAGCTCTACATCATATTTTGTTGATGACCAGCTATAAGATTAAGAGCAAATTGTTTTCCCAGGGGAAATAAAAACCATAGAGTTTGAAATAATGCTTCCCCTGGTTACACAGATGAGCCTAAACTGAGGCAGGATTTAAACAAAACTATCTTGCACATCAAAGACTCATCAGTGTGACCATCAGTAGTTCTAACAGCTGCAAAACACCATAACACCAACAACAAGCATACACTAGAGACAATTATACTTTCATCAGTGGGAGAAGATGCTATACAGCAATCAAACCAAAACAATGATATTTTAAAGATATTAAAGACATTTTAAAGCTATCTTTACTGGAAATGTAGTGGAGACAAACCGCAGACACCAAGTGGTAATTCAATATACATGTGAATTTGAGAGCACCTATGAGAAAAATGCTACTGGTGGAGAACAGGTAGAACATACACACACTATTTGTTTAATTCCATTGTCACCTCTCAGGTTGGTTTATCTGAAATCTAAGCTTCTGGTTGACTTGGAAGCATTTGGGTGTATATTAACACCAACAGCCATGCATATAAAATGCCAAGAACAGAGGTTGATACTTTCTTACCCTACTTGTCTCTTTGAACTTCTTTTAAGTGAAGTTTTAAAATAATACCTCTTTCATAAACTTTTTCATTACATCTGAACCCTTTAAGCTTGTATTCAAGTTTCTTCACAAATGTATTTTCTTAGCATAAACCCAGGTTGGTGTCTTAGTTACCAATTGAACTTCCATATTCATTCCTGCCCTTGCTCACAGAAATACAAATTCTGGAACACTTGCCGCCCCCATCTCCCTCCCCGCCTTGCCACCGCCCCCCAATACACACACATATTCTATATATTCTCCAAGCAAAGTCAGGTAAAAATTCCATGCCCTCCATTACATCAGTTTTCTTACTTATACTGATGATCCTAGTACTTTATTAGTTTCTTTTAGTGCTTAATTATATGCCACCAAGTACTTCCATGCATTATTTTATTTCTCAAAGATATAGTATGTCTCTTAGTTTTTCTACTATATTCATCTCACTAAGTCAAAGTTCTGTAGAGAATATGTGTTTAAAACAATAAATGGCTATAAAGCAAGAATCAATTTAACAAAAAATCAAATAATTTGTATTTCTCAAAATGAGTAATGTCCTCTTCAATAAGCCTACTTTAAAGAATAAATACTTGTCATTTTCAATGTATTTAGAAAACTTTCTCTTTTGAAACTGGTTTTAGGTTCAGTTTATGAGCTTGGATATAGAAACATCTCAGTATTTTCTAGTTACAGTTATGAACATCTCAATATTTTCTAGTTATAATTATGAATCTACCCAAACCACCCAGTATGACTTTTAAAATATATTTCACCATACCATAACTTTTACTTCAAAAATTCGGATTCAGCAGATCTTAGGGTGAGGCCAGTTGTATATATTAAGTGAAAAGGATAACAAAGAAATAAATAAAAAGCAAACTCATCAGGTGAAGAAAAAAACTACTTTAAAGTTTCTCCTCTTAAAAAGACAATTGCTTTAGCTTAAAGAAGGAATTGACAGGGTTTGGCTTTGCATCCCTACCCAAACTTATCTCAAATTGTAATCCATAGGTGTTGAGGGAGGGGTCTGGTGGGAGGTGACTGGATCATGAGGGCAGTTTTCCCATGTTGTTCTCGTGATAATGCATGAGTCTCACCAGATCTGATGGTTTTATAAAGGCTCTTCCCTCTTTGCTTCCTTCACAGGCTCTCTTGCCTGCTGCCATGTAAAATGTGCCTACTTCCTCTTCTGCTATGACTGTAAGATTCCTGAGGCCTCCCCAGCCATGCGGAACTATGAGTCAATTAAATCTCTTTTCTTTATAAATTACCCAGGCATGGGTAGTTTTTTATAGCAGTGTGAGAATGGACTAATATAGGAATATTTTCCAGTGGAAAGAAAAACAACTTTTGTGTCTCTCATGAGTCATTTAATCTTCCAATTACTCAATGTTAGTATACTTGTCTGTAAAATGCAAACCATAATATATGTTCTACTTATATGGTGCATGAGTTGGGGATGTAAATAAAAATCAGAATGATCTTGGTTTTAAGAAAGTAAAATTATACAAAAGGAATAAGGCATGCAAAAAAACAACTCAGAGTGATGATCCACAGTAAAGAGAGGTATAGCCGGGTGCGGTGGCTCACACCTGTAATCCCAGCACTTTGGGAGGCTGAGGAGGGCAGATCACGAGGTCAGGAGATCGTGACTATCCTGGCTAACATGGTGAAAACCCGTCTCTACAAAAAATACAAAAAATTAGCCAGGCGTGTTGGCAGGCGCCTGTAGTCCCAGCTACTGGGGAGGCTGAGGCAAGAGAATGGCGTGAACCCAGGAGGCGGAGCTTGCAGTGAGCAGAGATTGTGCCACTGCACTCCAGTCTGGGCGACAGAGTGAGACTCTGTCTCAAAAAAAAAAAAAAAAGAGGTATAAATTAAGAGTTATGAGTTTTCCAAAGCTAGAGAGTCCTAGCGCCTGGAGAACTCAGGGAATATCTTAAGGAGGCCACACACAGTGGCTCACACCTATAATCCCAGCACTTTGGGAGGCTGAGGCTGGCAGATCACTTGAGGCCAGGAGTTTGAAACCAGCCTGGCCAACATGGTGGAACCCCATCTCTACTAAAGATACAAAAAATTAGCCTGGCGTGGTAGCTTCTGCCTGTAATCCTAGCTATGTGAG